TGTTTAAATGCCCAAAATTTACTTTTGAATGCAATATTACTCACACCTGTATTAGTATATTACAAGTTTGTGATGGTTATACAGATTGTGCAGGTGGTGAAGATGAACAAAACTGTTCATTAAGTGTTTTCCATTGTTTCAATGGTAATGAAAATATTCCTATTCAATATTTATGCAATTTTGTACCAAATTGTAAAGATGGATCTGATGAAAAGGGTTGCGGTATTGAGTTATATAACATATTCACACCATAAACAAGGAAATAAATCTCTTTTCTTTCAGTTCAAAGAAAATGCAAAGAATGGTAAAAACATTTTTATTTATTACAATAAAGAGTTTAAAACGTGTTACAAAATTGAAAATTAGGGAATATTCGTGTAAAAGTGGCCAGTGTATACACTCAAAAAAATTATGCAATAACCAAATAGACTGTTTGGATCAGAGTGATGAAGATAATTGCATGAGAAAAGGTTAATTAATTATATAAATAGTCAATTTTCAAACCAATTCAATTGTTTGAATTTAGATACATGCATTGGGCAGAAGCTTTTTTGCGATGGTCTTTGCCTACCTCTTTATCCTGGATGTAATAATCTTGATTTATGTTTCGAAAAGGACAGCATCACCAAATGCAATTATAAACCTATGTAAAATTTAGGATTGGGAGATTTTAATTCTAGTTAAATTATAAATCATTACGTCATGTGTTTTCAGAGATACTTTCGATTTTTATTATACTACAAAAGCTTTTCTGAACGATGTCAATAGCTGTAAAATGCATCTTGAAAAGTAAGTAGTCTGTTTGTTGTTTAGTTTAGAATATTAGGCCTAACTTGACACAAACCGTACCAATATGGGGGATAAAATGTATAGGTAAAATATAGGTAAAAGCTATGGTGTGAGATGTTTGAAGTAATAATTTATCTAAATATCCACATATTTTTTCTCTCTCTCCACGGATTATCTTCTCTGATGTCTATATAATTTGTTTATCAAATGTTACCTTTTCATAGATAATGATTGAATCTTCCAATCAGCCTTTCAAATTCATTCTATTGTGCCAACCCTCCAGATTGTCACTTGTTCTAAAAGTTCAGATTTCCATCTGCTGTTTCCAATTAATATTTAAAAATTAAATAATTTTAATCAAAATATTAGGTAGGGTGTAACCTCTCATATTAGTGCCATTTAAGTAAAGTATGGTCACCTGCTCCCATTCGAAAATGTCTTATAATGTCCTAATATTTTTGTTTTTAGTAGGAAAATGTTTTTTTCTTGCCTTGAAGACAAATTTCCAAGATCGTGAATATTTTTTATTAAATACTTTTTATAAAATATCATCTCTACCTATACAATTTTTTTATCATGAAATAGTAATCGACATTATGATTTCATAGAATTTGGTGTCATTTCTCAAACATTTTATTACTGTTTGAAAAATTTAAATCTGTATGTTTTGTGTATTTTTTTTTTTTATCATTAATTGATTATTTTAATTCATTTCCGGTGTTTGTTTAGATCTGGAGATAATATTGTTTTTCAAAAGGAATTTATTATGTGTATTAGTACTTTGGAAGAGACAAAGTAAAATTCTGATTATCCCTCTCTCTCTCTCTCTCTCTCGTCTTAATTCATCTATATCTTTTTTAAGGCTATTCAAATTTATTGCCAAGTGCAGAGCATTTGCAACTAAATATATTTCGTATAAAACATACTATTTGAATTTCTAACATCTCTAAACTTGATTTTGTTTCTCTAGTACTTCTGAAATTGGAACATTGTTTTTAGATGAAGAAAATACATTTTATGAAAGATTTAAAATTTGTTCAAATTTCTTTGAAAAATCAAGTCTAACAGCTTCACTTCGAAGAAATCCTTCAACACAAATATTCGAAAAATATTACGTTTTAAAAATAAACCGAGAATATGAATTATATTTTTACCCATCAAAGTGTAGAGTTGTTTATGATCATATCGGTTTTTTCAAGTCAAATCTTGGAGCTCCGTTTCACGATTTATCCCGTTGCTCTGGTATGCAGTGTTTTATCGGTGAATATCAATGTAGGCTTCACAAATTTTGTATATCTCTTGGCTATATTTGCGATGGAATTAATCAATGTCCATTGGGTGATGATGAATATGAATGTGGTAATATTTTATATTTTGGTGTTGTTTTCTTTTTTCACAAAAATTTCTCTTCGTTTCTTTATTTTTAAAGATTATTTCTTTCCGGCTGGATTTTTTAAATGTAGACATCAGCAGAAAGTGATAACAACCTTATCAATATGTAATGGAAGAGTCGATTGTAAATTGGGTAATGACGAATATTTTTGCTTTGAAAATATCACTTGTCCATTGAATTGTATATGTAAAAGTTCAAAAATTGAATGTATTGCGAATGATTACAACGATAAGATAGATTTGGAACAGACTTCCCATAATTTTATCAATATAACTTTAATTGATTTTCAATACTTTTCAAACCAATTATCCTCATATCTACTTAAAGTTTTAACAATTACCAACACCAATTTGAATAATGTTCAAGAGACAATTTCACTTCAAAACACTGCTCACCTTACACTAAAAAGAAATAGAATAAAACAATTGAACAGTTTGGGTAAAGCAAATTTTTTACAGTATTTAGATCTATCCGAAAATCCAATTGAAAATGACCCAAACTTTTCATTTGAAATTTATCCATCACTTATTTATCTTGATTTATCAAAAACATTTATAACAATTTTATTGAAGAATCTATTCGAAAATCTTGTCAAATTACGTATAATCAAGTTAACTTTGTTGAAATTAAGCTTAATTCATTCAACAGTATTTTTTGAAATGAATGAATTAAGAGAGTTCCACTTGAACCATACACAAATCAATAGAATTAATACTAGAGAAATATTAAACAATATGAAATTTCAACCAAAACTGGAGAAATTTTTCTCAGAAATTTATTCAATTTGCTGCGGGATTAATTATAATTTAAAAAATGTTGAATGCACCCCAAAACCAACAAAATATTTTACCTGTTCATTCCTAATGGATAGTATATCAATAATGGTGTTTTTTACACTTTGTACTCTCTTGGGTGCATTGGAAAATGTATTAGTTTTAATCTATAGAATTTCTACATTCCATAGACCATCTCAACTATTTACAATATTAGTTGCATTTGGAAATATTCTGTCATTTCTAGTGATTTCAATACTATTATACTACAATTATTTATTTCAAAATCAGTACTTTCAACACGATTTGGATTGGAGAAAAAGTGGTTTTTGTGCTACATTGGGAATTTCATTTACATTTTCAATTCTTGTAACAAATGGTAGTGCATTACTGATATGTATTGATTATGTCCTTATTACATTATTTCCATTTAAAAGACTACTTACTGCTAGACTGGTTGCAATATTTATATTAATTAATATAGTAGTTTCATTTTTCTTGTCAGTTATTCCATATTTATTTGACAAGGTTAAAATAAACAAAACAGTGTTCGAAACTTTTAGTCATTTCATAATATTTTTCCAGACATTCTATTCAAATTCTCCAACTTGTTTTAATTTGTATTTTAATGATATAAACAATTGGTATTTTCATTTTATTCAATATGGATTTGTTATTTTTGTTGAAAATTTAATGATGGTCTTAATGTATGGAAAAATCTACTTAACTCTACAATCTCATAAGAAAAACCTTCATAATAAACAATCAAGTAGTATAGGCAGGAAGGAAAGATATATTTCTTATCACGTGATCTTGTATATTATCCTTCATTTATCTTCCTGGATACTATTGTCATCAGCTGGTAATTAACTAATTAATTAATTAATTGAAACAAATAATTGAATTTATTTTGAAATACAAAAGTTGTCTTTATCAAAATTCTGAAATTAAGAGTCAGCTACAGAGATAACATTGTTATTACTCTATTAATTCAAATTTTAATATTTACATTAAATTCATTTATATTTTCAATTGGAGAATGGAAATCATATAAAGTTTTCAAAAAGAATAAAAGGCTTGAAGAGCAGGAAAATTTGAAAAAATCAATCCATCTCTTAAACATGAAAAAGAGTTTGCTTTTTCTTTTCATGTTGTTGTTTTTTTGAATGTCTTTTTTGTTATCAAATTCAGATATAAACTTCCTAAGAGATATGGAAAGGAATCATATATCTTCATTTCCAGGAAAGATTTCATTAGAGAATCTTACTAATAATCATTATTTATTTATTAATTATAATTATTTTCAATGTATAAAAACAATAATAAACTGCGTTGTTTCATGTCATTCATCCGATTTATCATTTCATGGTGAAATTTGTAAACAGACTATTTTTTGTCAGGTAAAATTTTTTAAATTTTTAAATTTTTAAATTTTTTGAATTTTTTGAATTTTTTTCAGCCAATCAGCAAACTTAAACAAAAATATTTTTTATCATCAACATTTATTGTTATGAAAGATTCAACAAGTGAAAAGAAGGATATGCTTGGTATTGGTCAATTTGTTAGAAGTATTCTTATTGATCATGCAGTGTATAGGAAAAAATGACTTTGTTCTTTTAAATAATAAAGAATATAGGCCTTTTATATCTGTATATTTAGAATAGTAATTTTTTAAAGTGATGTTAGGGTTAGGTTATCCTTCTGAAGGAGATATTTTCGTGATTGGGCTCTTTCCACCTGTTTTAAATTTTCTAATAATTCATTCGCTAATGACAGTAGCACTGACATATATTGTAATATAAATAACAATCGCTGAAAACTGGTAGACCTACTATTTCTAATAAACTCAATATCATTGTTAGTATTTTCACTTCTCCCCCTTTCGATACCATCAAGTGGCGTTTCATCTTCATTTCCGTCATTTTTTTGGTATTCTGCCACTCTTTTGTTGAAAATTAATTGTCTACTCTTAAAAGATTGTTTAAGCCTATAATGTGGAAAAAATTGAATTGAACCTGGTGTATCAATCTATTTATTTGTGTAAATTAAATATTGACAATAATATAGAAATCTCTATTTAAAGTGAGTAGTTTAGACTGTAAAATTGTGAAATGAATTCTCAAACAATTATTAGACTGACATTGACATTTAAAAATACAAGAATCCATCATATCTAACTCAGAGTAGTATCCATCTACATGATTTATCAGTTCACATTCTTCTTCAATGGTGAATGATGTCACGTAGATTTTAAATGCAGCATTAAGACATGACTGAAGTAGTGATACACCCTTTAATTCAGCCACCAGGGCTTTTGATTGGTATTGAGAAATACCAATTGAATGAACAGCATTAACAGAGCAGGAACTATTATCATTATAATGTTGAAATGAAGAGTTGTAACTATTTATAACCCAATTAACTTGAGGTTCATCTTTAATAGTTGAACCAAACACTTCAATCTCGCAAATAGACATAATAACGTTCGATGCCGTTGACCTAACTAAAGCAAGAAATTGACCAACAGTAGACTTTTGGCATCTTCTAGTCATATATGAGGAAGCTTTGTCAATGCTACTGCATATTCTTTCTGGTATCCATGGCAATTCGGTATTATCATTGTTTACAATTATATTAATGGAATTCAAACGACTATTGAATCCAGCTCTACTCACAATAGAAACGGCGTATAACTCACTCATGACTTCCAAGTTCATTTTCCACCACCCAGGGGATGCGGACGCAGTTTCTGGACACTTCAAAAATCTTCCAGAGTCACTTTGACCATCATTAGCATTTCTAAGCCACCAACCATTTGTAGAAACATCCATTTTATTTCTATCAATATCTCTCATTGTCCAAATTTCAATTTCGCATATAGTTAACGGGTGATCAGTTGATCTTTTCTCCACAACAAGTGATCTTGAATATTGGGGACCTTTTAAACAATCAATTGTTGCAGCTTTTCTTTTTGGTATTATTTCATTTATTGTATTACAAAGTGAAAATTGACTAGAATTGAGATAATTAACAGTAGAGATATGAGTTAAAAAGTCTATATCTTTCATGCCAGAACCATCTTTTGAATTGAGAATTCTAATTGTTCGAACGAAATATTGTTTGTCAAAAGTTACCATCCACCATTGACGCAATGATAATGAAATGTTGGTCTGAAAGAAACTATCTATATGAAATATTCCATTTACCGCTAAATCACCGTCATTCCCGTTTGAAGTGGATACAGAAACAGTTTGGTTAAAGGCAATATTAACGTGTTGAGTATCTACAGAAATGAAGAATACTGAACCAAATAGAAAACACCAAAAACAGTATTTATCGTTGCTCAACATTGTCAATTTGCGCTTGTTTCTGCTTTGGCAAATTTTGAAATTTAAATATAACTTATCTATAAATGTTTGTTTAAGAAATGAATTGCTTGAACAAAACCAGCTATAATGGCAATAGAAACCTTTTAAAACTAGTATTTGCTATATTATTATGAATCAATTATTTAAAAGTTATATATTAGTATAAACTAGTTTAATATATCAGATGTATTGTTTAGAAAAGAGCCTGCAGAAAAGGTTGGTGAAGAAACAGTAAACAATTTCATGTCTCTATTCAGAACAGTGAAAGAAGTAAGTGATCAGATGTTTACATTGTCAAGAGTAAAAGATATTAATGAGTATGTTATGTTAGTCTATTTATTTAATAGAATTTTATTTCTTTATAGCAACTCATTCAGAACAAAGGAGAAACATTCTCAGCACAATTTTTAACTGAAATTTCTCTTTGTTTGTTGTTGTTATTTTATCAGTTGAGTATCTTCAATCAGAATACTAGGGCTATTTATATATTTTCAATATTTATACTTTATAATAAGCTTGGTATTAAAAACAAGAGTCGAATATTTCCTGTTATGTGCCTTTTTGAGATTGTAGATAGCTTGATATGTAGAAAACAACACTTTTTTTCTTTTATAACTTCAGTACAATCAGCAGTAATTTACTTATTAGTGGCGCCATCTGTAGCTGAAATTTTAGATTCATAATAGACTAGTTTTGTACAGGACAAACTGTCGACATTTATGCTATTGAAATATCATAAAGAACAAATATATTTTGATAAACTGCTTTACTTACTTTCAGGTTACAGATAGGATTATTTGGCATGGTTAGGATATCACTAGAAGGAACCCCTCTACATATTTAATTACAAATTAGCGTACTACCTAAGAATTTAGGGAATTCCTTGGTGTTTTGAATGGATAAAGATTGAAAATATAGCCTAGAACCTTTTAGGTCATGTTCATTAAGTAAATGGAGATTAAAAGATATTTAACAAAAACATATGAGAAACTTAACTCGTCATTACAGTTTTTCAACTGTTTTTCCCGGTATAGCCCTGAAGACATGGCCTACTTAGATGGAATTAATATGTCGTCACAACCAACGACTGGGAAAATCATCTGCATAGCTTTCTTTCAATAGTACTCTTCATTTCTGGATTATTTTCCAATGGATTTGTATTAACTGATATGGTTAAGAGGAGAGTGATGGGAAAAATGACTAAATGGATTAAGATAACTATATGATTAGGGCTATTGAAAATGGTTAAACAAACCCAAGAGTTAGGTTAGGGTTAGGGTAAAAGCATAAATTTGTGGATGTTTCTATGACAAAACCTAACACTAAAAATTCTCATTTGTGGACGTTTTCTGTTGACCCCTCTCAGCAATTGCTTACATTCAGAATAGGCCTAGATATCTATTTGATGTTATATTCGTAATTACTTGATGTGACTTTAGAGCATTACTTATTCATATTTCGCTTACTAACATAAAACAAACTTTTCTTTACAGTTTGTTAGAATTATCAAGCAATGTCCTACTTGAATGGAGGCAATATGTCATCATGATCATTTCTATCATCTCTTATTGAGTACAGTGATTTTTTATCATTTTCTATTTAAATAATAAAATATTCAATTTTTTTGAATTTCTCTATAGTTTTACCACACAAAATACTCATATTGAAATTATATTTTGAACGGTAGCGCCATCTATCAGATGTTTGTCACAAGTAATGTTTTTTAAGTAAAAGAAATGAAAGTGGAAAGAGTTTAAAAGTTTATCTAAAACTTCAAACACATGACCTCCTTCCAATACTTTGAAAACAAGTATGAATTAAAAAGTCCAAAAATTCAAAAACTGTTAAAACAGTAGCTCCTAAAACTAGGCCAAAAGCTCCACCAATATCTGACATAAGTGCCAGCCAAGTATAGGCTGCTTTTTCATTGATTTCCTCGCTGAGCAAAGATGAATAAAAGATATTAATTGCAAGAAGATCATCCGAAATAGGTTCCTTAATATCGATTATCCTCCCTATATTATCTTTATAGGAGTCCTTGAACTTTGAGAAAGAGAGAAAAGTGGGAAATTCAAGATTACGGCATTGACCCAAACAATTGCATTTAGTAAATATTTCATTTTTGAAAAAGTATAAGGATTTCTCCTTAATGCATAGTAAATTGATCGGAGAACAGATGACACTACTGTCGCTTGTAGCTATAATAAAAGAATATTTTTAACGTTATGAGTAGTTTTAAGTTTAGGCATTACGTATCATTTCCGGTGATACACAATTACAATTTTTTAAAATAAAATCCGAGTAACATTGCTTCTTACAAAGAGAAAATCTATAATCTTCATCTTCCACGCAATCTCCATAGGGACTGGGAAGGAATGTGCTTAATTTCAACTTTGTTGAAATCATATATTCGTTACCAAATGAGACTTTAACACCCTTTTCAAGCATTTCCGGTATATCTTTCGAATCGTGTATTAATATCTGTTTAGAAATTTGAAAAATGACGTTAAAGGAAATTTTTTGTGAAATTTTCAAAAATTTACACGAAAACCAGCCGATATTGAACTTGTTATTAAATAATCCTTTTGTCTTGTATTCAAGTATATCATTAATCCGCTGGCGGCTCCTGCTGATTTTACAACTTTGTTGGATTCTTTTTGTTGTTTTCCAGTGACAAGGGAAGAGAGGAAATGCAGAGATAATGATTAGTTTAAAACTTACTAAAATTCCATACCTGAATTGAATTGAAAACATCCACCCATATTTGTTTGAACTAGGCTGAAATTTTTGTAATTACAACTTTCTTGTTTGAATGTACACTGTTCAATAGAAGAATAGAAAGAACAATTTTTATAATTTGTCTAATTCAAAAATTAATTATACACATGAACAATAGCGTTATCACGTGATTGACCAAGCTTTTCGTAAAGTTCACCCCAATCCATATGGGAATTATTTAATAGGTGTTTAATATCTTCAGTAAGATTAAGCTTGGTCTTTGCCGGATCTACAGAGAAGAAATGAGTGATAGCCGCTTTCATTTCTACAAAACAAGAAATAACAATCTTTTATTTAAATAGGACTATTTAAGAAAAGCTAAAGCTTAACCCTTGCCCTAAGTTAGCCTTTAGCCCCTGTTTAATATTGGGTATGACAGAAAATGTCCCCAAATGTATGATTTTATCCTAACCCTAACCGTTAGCTGACATTCTTTCCATGTAAAACCCTTTCCTTTACGTATCCCGCTTAGAGACGTTTTCTGTCGAACCCCCAAGTTCCTGACCCTGAATAGGCTTAAAACATTCGAAATAGAAATCACACCTTTTGACATAACTTTGGCACGAAAGTATCTGTTTTCATTGCAAATTGTTACAAGTGGAAAATCGAGTTGATTATTAGAAACGATTTTAATGTGGGAGAGTGTGTTGAATTCTAAGAAATAAGTGATACGATCACGTAACTGATATAGCATAAATCCAAATCCAAAAGCAACTAATAGGAACCAGATAATCCTTTTCAGAATTGAATATTTACTATTAGCAATATATTTCACACCAATCATACTAATATCTTCAGAGAGACTTTTCCAGTTGGATAACAATAATGGCGTTTTATATTTTACTTCCGCCGAATTGATATTCTCCATTTTTTCTCCGTCAATAGACAAATTACCTTCCATAGTTTGTTCTTTGTTTTTTAACTGCTTGAATAGTTGCTGATAATTAATAAATGAGTTTAGTAATTCACTTCAGAAAACAACAACTTACGCCATATTGTTAATCACTTTTACAATAAATTCATTCGCCATTTGTTTTTGTACAGATGTTTTATATTTTGTTTATGCTGACGATGATAGATTAAAATAGCTTCCAAACAACAATAGAACTATTACGAAATAATCGATAGGAATGTTTTATTCTTTTTTTAAACATTAGAATGTTACGAAAATTCTGTAATGCCTTTTTAGGCCGAACCGGTTGAAAATTAGATTTTGGGCTGGGAAATGGCTAAATGGGATATGTAACTTTGGAGGATTCAATTTAAGGGTTAGACAAAAATTGACATTGATGTAGATTGTCCACACATAGGCTGCCATCCAGGATTGTTTCTATTTCCAATTTTCATCATTAATTTATTAATACCCTGTTCCAGAAATACATAATTTTCAAAATCTTTTGATCTTTCAGAAAAGTTTACCATTAAAAGTAATCATATTTAAGAGACAGATATTATATCATTATTTTAACTATACAATTAGCTGTAATTTAGATATAATTTCATATCTTCTAATATTAAGATATCTAGTATATAGATATATAATTTTTAGTTTGCCATTACAAAGGAAATGATAAGAATGAAATTTATCATTTCTATCACTCTTCTTTGTCTTCTCTTCTTTATGGTAAATTCTACCTGTAAGATTCATTAAAATTATTCAACCAAATAGAATAGATGTCATTTTCTTCTACCATTTTCAGCTGTATCACCAATAGTTTGCTCACAAATAGCATATAAAGCTACTGATTGGATTCAGTATAACATGTCTCATACAATGGAAAAAGACGAATACGAAAGAACAATTAAGGAATTTTCTTCAAATCCTTCTCTCTGGGATCACGCTAAATTTTCGAATACTCTCTGTACGATTTTAAATGCTAAATCATTGGCACAACTAAGTAAAGAATTAATTTCGATTATTAAATTAAAGTAAAGAAAGATTTCTCAGTCATGCTCATAATTTAGTGAGAACCCAATCAAAAGATGATATTAATAACATTATAGAGTCTAATGAAATTGCTTTTAGTATACTCGAAAATTTTTATTAATCTGGTGTGTTTTTTCTTCCAATATGCTCTAATGATAAAGCTTTTTCATAGGATGATTGCATTTTTCAATGAGAATGAAAATGTGCTAGAAAGTGCATTTTCTTCCGACATATTTTCAATTTTAAAGAGGATTTTTTCATCACCTGAAGAATTTGTATTGAACAGTTGCAATATAATTAATTCAGAAGATATAAACCAATTCAATAATAGACTGGCTATGTTTTTGTGTATGCCTAGAATATTAATTGAACAATACAAACATGCAATCAAAACCTTGAAAAGATTGGCTTAATTAAGCTAATAAAAATTCAATCAAAGAAATGCGATTCAAGTAAGCATAAAATCATAGGAAATGTATTGAAATATTGGGAAAAAAATGAAAATCTACTAATTAATTCTGTAATTCCTCTACTTGAAAAGTATGCAAATTTTCGTATTCCTTCAAATTACATTACCGAATGGATTTCGCAATTTGTTTGTAATATACTAGAATCTTCGGAAAGAGATTTTGAAAGTAATATTTTTGGTTTTTTTGGAACAATCAAGTATTTTTATTACAAAAATCTTATCAGAGTTATACTTAAAGTCTGTTTGGTTAGCAGTTTTGAAAGGATATCGGCAATTTTATACTATGAAAGTTGATGGAGAAAAAACAACAGAAATGATTCCGTTTGTTGAAAGACAATTGAAAAATATTACAAACATATTTGGAGTGGATTGGACATCGCGATTGGATCCCATTGATAGTCATAGATTCACTTTGGGTTATAGATTTTCAAATTCCTACTTTCTAAAAAAGATGGCTACTTCTCTTGTAGAATCTAAAACTGTCGATGAATTTAACATTGCAATGAACTTTTATACTCATTCAGCAGAAACAAGTCATTTTATATTTGATATTGTTGAAAATCTGGAAAGAAATTGCTGTAGAAAAGTTACAAGCGCTGCAAAAGAACTCCAAACTCTTCTTATTGAATTTAAGGATACGAGTGCAATAAGAAATTTGAAGAAAATGTATACAAATTACTATTAACCCCTTTACATTTATATGATAACATAGTAGTTTGTATATAGAGTTTGTAAGAGTTTGTAACACCAAACATTACCATAAAATTTTCCAATACATTTTCATCTACAAAAGAACTGTCAACTGCAAAACCTTTGAATTCATTTATTCTTTCTCTATAAATCATTAGTTGAATAGACATTGGCTAATTAATTATTTGTCAGGAAAAAATCTTTAAAAGTTTAAAATGGAACAAAGGAATATTCTTCTGAGAATTTCTGTCTGATATAGGCCTATCTAACAATAAAGACTATAAACTCTGATGACTTTTTCGCCCTGTTGAAACTCTCTTATTGCAGTCTGAGGGATATTGAGTACAGTTCAATTGTAAATTGTTCTTAAGATGTAAACAAACTCTTCTGGAATTTTTTTGTTGCTGGTTGTGCATTTTCTATTTCATTCTTCTTAATCTTTCTATACAAGTCAATATTACCTTTACACCAAATATAGAATGCCGCTGCACCGGCACTAGCATCAGCAACCTCTCGTCCATTTAGGTTTTTGAGTATTTCATCAGCTCTAAGAATAATTGAAGGATGAACTTTTAAAACCTTTAGTGCTTTAATCTTTTTTAACATTGAATTCGAACTTGTATAGTTAATATAAACTCTGCAATCTTTCCATTCTTCTGTTCGTATTTCACTTATTGATAGAATTAATAATGTTGCTTTCATAACAGTGTGTACAACTGTTGGTGGTTGATTATACTGATTTAATTCAGTAATACTTCTTGCATTCAATTTTAAGACTCTCCTCCTCAACTTTCGAATTTCCTCCATATTTTTTTTCAATTCATTTGCCTTTGCTAAATTTTCTTTTATTGAAGGAGGTATTGGTTTAATAGATGCTTTATTAATAGCAATTATCAACTTTTTGTAATCTTTCTCTTGGCACGCTTTTTCTAATTCTGTAAAGAGAGAGAGAGAGAGAGAGAGAGAGAGAGAGCTTTTAGGTGAATTCTTTGAATGAAACTTACACTTACCTCGAACTTTGTTGGCTAATTGATTGCTGTTACTCTGCTTTCCTGGTTCTGTTGCATTCGTCAATAAAGATTGTTCTTCTTTATCATCTGGATTCTCACTGGTTTGGTCATTTTTCTCAATATCAATCAAATCATTATTCTCATTTTCCTAGTGGGAAAACTTGACATTAGTGAGTAGTATAAAAGAAAACAAGAAAACTTACATCTGTAATAATTGTTTCATCTTCGCTATCGGATTCTTCAGGTAGGAATTCACTTACATAAATTACATCTAGCATTTGTTGTGACCAATCAACTTCTCCAATTTCGTGAGAAGGTTCATGATCATTTTCAATAGTTTCAGTTTGAATTATTGGTATATTTTCAATATTTTCAATAATGTCAATCTCATAGGATTCTTGAATAGGTTCTTCTTGAATAGGTTCTTCTTGAATTGGTTCTTCTTGAATAGGCTCCTCTTGAATAGGCTCCTCTTGAATAGGCTCCTCTTGAATAGGTTCCTCTTGAATAGATTCCTCTTGAATAGGCTCCACCTGAGTGGGTTCCTCCTTTCTTTCCTCTATTGCAATTTGTTTAGGTTTTTCATAAGGTCTTTTAAAAATTTTATAAGTTAAAATTTGTGTAAAGAATTTTGCAGATTTATAAATCTGTGCTTTGATAATTAGCTCACCAGAATAATTATCAATATCAATTTCACACTCCCAACTATCGTTGAAAAAAGTAAACTCAAATTCTCTGTTGTTTGTAAAACAACCAATCATTGAATTCGCCTTTAAACCTTGAATTTGAAATCTTACTTTCTCATTTGAATAGAGTTTTTTGAATGGTTGAATAATTTTATGACTTTCACTTATTCTCCATTTATCAGTGATAACCGGAAATTGGAATGTATTTGGGTCAGATTCAATAGCGTAAAAGTAGCAATTGTAAACCAATTTGTATTTATCTCTCGAATTCAATTGTTTACCATAAATAAGGAATTTATACATTCCTGGCAATGGAAAATTGATATGGAATGAAACACTTTCAACGCTATTCTCGAAGAATGAATACACTGAAAAATCATGCTTATTCTCTTTGTCATCATACCAATATAATTCAATTTTAAATTGGCATGGTATCCTTTTGAATATTTTGAAATATATCTTTCTAAAACATTCTTGATAAGATTGAAAATTATCTTCAATCATTAATTTCAATTTAAAATAATCGTGTTGTTTGCCAATAGTAAACTTTTCATTTTCTGGAAATATCAATGTATAATTTGGCTCTTGTTCATTAGTAACTACATATGAGCATATTGAAGGTAGATACATTTCCGGTTCCTTTTCAATTAAATTCAAACATAGACAACTGTATTTGTACTCAGTTTTCCTCCTTTGACCAAAAATATTTATACCGTATTCACCTGAGGCGGGGAAATAAAATTTGATATGGCCAAAGCCATTTTCGAATCGGGATAGGCAATATTTTTGTAAGAATTTTGGGGAAAAGCGAACGTTTGTCACTTGAACATAGTACTCATATTCGTCATCATCACCATCAAAATGAATTTCTGTGTAATTCTTATTTGTCGAACTATACATTCCAACCTTTGGAAACATATTTAAAAAGTTGTGGTTCCTAGTTTTGTAATTAGGGCCCATTTCGTGTTGATAGGTGTGTGGAAATGGTGGGATAAAGACATCATCTGTCTTCGTATACTTGATGATGTAATCAGTACACCAGTCATAATCGTTCTCTTCTTTCGTATTATTATGGTCTTCCATCACCTGTAATCTTAATTTATAAGTTGCAGTTTGGGGTAGTTTCATTCTAATGATGAGTAGTTCTTTCTTCTGATCTTGGAACATTTTAATATGTTCATTCGGGTCAATTGTCTTGTCAAGTATCTGCCGTCTTACACTCTCTTCTAAGACAGTAGTGTTCTCTATATAAAGAGATTTAATAAATCTTACAGGAAACGTTTTACTTGTTGAGATAAGAATTTCATTTTTATGACTTCCGGCATAAACAATACACTTCGGATGGGATACAATGCCTAATTTATGCTGAAAGAATGCTGGCCTTAAATAGGCCAAATCTCTGAATTCTTCAACATTTAGTTCCCTTGCCAAAAGCTGGTGTCTGGGATTTCTAGCCATATGTTTGTAAATAAATTCCTCTGGATTTGGTAGAAAGTATCCATCATCATATTTATAAGAAAGTACACTTTCATCACTTTTTTTCTTAAAGAAAGAAGCTAACAATGAATATTTTTTCTCTTCTTGACATACTTTCCGAGAGGCAAAGTTAGCATCACATAAATACCAAAATTTATTTATTCTAATAACATTCCATAGGCTTAGATCATTTGTGTCTATATTATCTCCAATTTCATATCCTGCATGTTTAGCATAACCGACAATTTGAAGGCAATGAATATTTACATAACTTTTTGAAAAATTCAAAAAATGAAATAAAGCATTGAAATAGTAAATTAAATTCCTACCTGCAAAGTTCTTCAAATACTTTACTATAAGCTTTTTCATAATTCTTTAATCCTAGTAAAGTAGATCTCATCTGATGGTCTAATAGTTTGTCAAAACTGACTTTATTCAAATCTAGCGATGCCAACCATCTAAATAAAGCTCTAGCTTTTAACATTTCATCATTGTAATCCTTTGTTAAATAAATTGCAATTTGCTTTGGTGATTTATTTAAAAATGTTTTTCCATTTTTTTTCAAGACAAACTTATCTACTGATTCAAAATTGTAATTTTTTAGGATGCTTTCTTTTGTATTTGGATTAGGAAATATAGTATGAGGAGGAATTGCTATCTGTCTATAGTTTACCATTTGAAACCATTCCATATTTGCTATTCGAAGAGTAACGTTTGTTGGAAATCCCATACTTTTAAAATCTCCTTTCAGAGCATGTTGAACTTCGGCCAATTGTTTTTCAATATCTTTTTTCAATATAAACAAAACTTTTCAACTATTTTTTTTACCTGAAAATATAAAATGTAAATTCTTATCACCTGGATTATAAATTTCCGGTTCAACTGCATTTTCTTTTGAAAAGCAAAATCCCATATTCAATTGTTGAGTTTTTTCTTTTTTCTTCCTGAAATCAATGGAGCAATTTGCGTTCTGAAATAAAAAAAAAAACAGATTTACTATAAATATTTAAATGAAAGCGAAAGTAAGATTTAAAATTCCAAAGTGCTTGAAATTATGAATTTAAGATATTTTGTCTAATATTTACAATGTAATACACTTTTCGAGTTATTGGCGAGAGGAGGAAAAAATGTTTGAGTAAGATATTATTGTCTAAAATTTTCCTACTTTAACTTTCATTCCCACGAAAACTTACTTTATAGATAAATGGACAAAAGAAATTGATCATGTTTTCAATTATAAATATAGTGTGGTTTCCATTCGGAAATAGTTAAAATTTAATTAGAGCATTTATATCTAAATGATTAAATCTAAAATGATTTTTAATAAACCAGCTTAAACATTTTGTTTTTAGGCCTATGTTCTTCCGGATAAACACTTCTCTTCCCCCCTCTTAAGAGCTGTCTATTGACAGCTTCGTTTCATTTTCTCCAAGATTTTTATAGAAACATTTTTGAAGTATATCAAATGATCACGTGACTTATTAAGAAAATTTCATGTGAAAGTTAAAAGTGTCAAATTTTTTATATGCTCTGATCAAATATTAAAATTCGGTAAAGTAGGTAAACCAAAGAAACACTTCAAGTTAATTTGGTGCTTACTTACTTGGGTTCTTTTTGAGAATAGTTTAAATTTGAGTAATAGGCCTATACTTTACTTGAATAACATCAGATGAATGGCGTAATCACACAGTGCTATTCGATATTTATGATAATACTTGACTTATAAACGAACTTAAAGAGATGGTTCCAAAGCTAAGACTATTTGTCTTATCTTATTTTCAATAAATGTTTGTTATTCTTAAGATATGATCAATTTTGTCACGTGACGTATTACCTAGATTATCAAGTTTGAAAAAGACATTGCAATAGGTTTAAATTTTGCTCTATTCTCTGTTTAATCACACCAAAGAGATAAGTTGTGTCATTTATCACCCAACTAGCATTTTTTAATTCATGTTTCATCAAATTTATCCAAGAAATAATCATTATTGATTGACTGTTTAAAAAAATCACTTTGATCATGTGACTTATCTTATTTGTAAAAAGAAATGGTGTTGTTTAGCTAATGATTCGAGGTACTGCTATTTAAACTAAAATATCGAACTTCTACACTGCTGCCACCTTGCGGTCAGCTAAGCAATAAAAGTCATTTTGAGTGTGAATAAGCTTTAAAAATAGGACAGCAGCTGATTTGTACTTTGGAGGGTTTCATGTAAGAGTTAAGGGTAATGAAAAAGGTTGGACATAGTTAAAGGCTGAGTTATGTCTTGGGGTTAAGGTTTGCCAATCCAGTACTGACTGATAAGCCAGTGAATTGTCCACAATGAACACCCACTAGAAATTTGAATATCATTGTTGTAATTCATGAAGAAGATAAACTTGAATTATATACTTTAAACAACACTGAAGAGAAATTATGACAATTCCTATGCTCTGATGAAAATGATAATGATAACAT